CCTTCAATTCAGAGAGATTTTGAGATATGAAGCCATCTCAATGAACATGTCCAAGTTCATTTAGATGGCTTCATATCTCAAAATCTCTCTGAATTGAAGGAATTTGAAGCATCCGTTCAAACTAATTTAGACATCCAAGTTTAGTTTTCCAAAACAGTTCCAAAGTTCAGAGGGAATTTGATTCATTTGCCCAAATACCCCCCCCCTCTCTCTGTGTGTGTGTGTGTGTGTGTGTGTGTGTGTGTGTGTGTGTTCCAGCATAACTCTTGAACACCTCGAGCAATTTCAACCAAACTTGTTATACAGATGACTTACTCTCTGGAAACAAATACTGTGGGGGTAAGACACCCCTAACATCCCTTGGGGTTGTGTTCTGTTACAATACAGCCTGTTGTGCCTTAAAATGACTTCTACTGTACAAGTGCAGTGGAGTTGCCATGGTAATGGCTTCACAGTACTCCACAAGGGTGCTCCCTCTCATAAGGGGGAAAAATTCAACATTAGAAATTACGTTTGGTCCAGACATTTCCCCCTATAAATGAATACACGGGCAACGCTGGGTTGTCAGCACTAGTTTGGAAATAAAAAGAGTTCTATCTACATGTTAAGTATTACATTGTCTTTTCCCTGATTTCCTGAGTGAACGTCTGCCACCAGCAGAAACACTATTGCTTGGAGGAGCCTTCTCAACTCAGATTGCTGTATCTTGCAGTTGCAAAAATGACTGTAACCAGGTGTCCATTCAGGCTTTGCATCGTCTCAAGCACCAGAACGCTTCATTGTTTGATGGGATTCTTGCCTCTAAACAAAATGCAAACTTCTCTGCTTCTTTAACTTCCTGCAAAGAGAACGTTGTTCAGACAGTTGCAATAACAAAATCCAACCAATGACCTTTCTTTTCCTCTATGAGTCACTCTACAAGAAGAGAACCAGCCAAGAATTTGCTATCCGGAGATTGCCTTTTTTACAACCCTCGCTTTTGCCGATGCTCCAAATGAGGTAAGATTTTTTTTCAGAATTTGAAGTGTGGAATTCCAAACAAGGTAGATTTTGTTCCCCCCTCCCCCTCTGCAGTTTTGCAAGAATGTTCCTCTTTAGTTAGGCAAAAAAAATTGCAACAAGGATCTTGTTTTTGTAAGATCAAGTTGGTCTCTATCTGATTGCCTGCACTTGTGAAAGTTGGAACGAGCAAATATACCAATTTAGAATAGAATAGAATAGAACTCTTTATTGGCCACGTGTGATTGGACACACATGGACTTTGTCTTTGGTGCATATGCTCTCAGTGTACATAAAGAAAAATAGAATACATTCATCAAGAATCATAAGATACAACCANGTTCCTCCCCAACCTCCTCACTGTCCGAATCTGCTGCCCGCTCGCTGGCAGGCCACAACAGTGGAAGGATGTCAGGACTCAAAGAAGCAAAGAGTAAATAAGAATACTCCCCAGTAATATCTCATCATTACTCCCCTCCCGTTGGGAAAATGGCTTTCCCCACCCTTCTCTTTCACACAGATGGGATTTAGAAGATTTGAGCTTCTGTAGTCACCATGCCTGGTGCCAGAACCGCAATTCTGAGTTTAAACGAAAACAGTGGAAGCCTCTCTTTGGATTGTAAAAAAAAGGAGAGGAGCGTTTAAGTGGGCCAAAGTTGAAAGCAAGGAAGGAGGAGGGAACCAGTGCCCCTCACGCAATCTCTGGAGGGCTTTTAACATTGTTCCTTCTGAGCAGAACTTCTGACAAGTTTATTTAATTTTTAATTGGAGGGGGGGAGAGACGAGGGGGAGGAATGGGAAGCTGTTTCTTTAAAGACTTGGAGCAGACCGCAGTCTAGCCTCCCTAACAGGAAACTTGAAAGCTAGAAAGGGAAAAATCAGCTGGCACTGGACGGACTCCAGGTTAACCCACACATAAAGGGACTCTAATCCTAGCATAATGCCGCCCCCCCCCCTTTTTATTTTGCTTTCTATTTTAAATTCAAGGTCCTGCCAAAGCTTACAATGTTCCTTTTTCTCTTCTCGTTTTTACAGTTTTACAAGCCAAGAGTTGTGGTCAGTTTTCTCACGTCGAATCCTAGGTTCTTTTCATCTGCCCAAAGGGTAGCTGAAAAGATTCATTATTTTGTCATTTTAAGGGCCTTAAATACATCTATCCAGAGATCCTACCGGGTTGCTGAGGATTGCAAATAGCAAGAGGGGGTAGCTTCTTTTTCTTTTCTTACTAATGGAAATAAAGACGAATGCCTGCATTAAATGTGTGTTTTATGGCCATGCACGCAGCTAATTAGCATTCAGGGCAAGGGAGCTCTGTTGTTGCTTTCAGATGCTGCGCTCATTGTCCGAATAGAACTTCGCTCAGAAGTGGGGGGAAATGGATTTAAGCAGAGCTGCTGAGAATTCTGTTTAATTCAGCAATAAACTCATTTTGGAATCCAGTCTCATAATCTCCTTTACAGGGTAGTTTTTTTTGGGGGGGGGGAGATAAAGAGCAGCATCACATAAAAGCTGATTTCTAGATTCTTGGGTGAAGTTTGTAATGGAGACACATTTGCTAGCAAACTCACTTTCCCCAGGTTAGAAAAAGTACTAGATTCAGCTAAGCTAAGAGAGAGAAGTTTCTGTCTGTCTGTCTGCCTGCCTGCCTTCCTGTCTTCCTATTTAAAAATAAAGTCTAGGCCAGGCCAGTGGTCACCAACTGGTGGTCCATGGACCACTGGTGATCCTCGAGAAAATTTTGGTGGTCTGCAGAAAAATTATTTGCATTTTTTATATTGCACTAAATACTAAAAGATAAAGGTTCCCCTCGCACATATGTGCTGGTGGTTCCCGACTCTAGGGGGTGGTGCTCATCTCCATTTCAAAGCCGAAGAGCCAGCCCTGTCCAAAGATGTCTCTGTGGTAATTTGGCTGGCATGACTAAACGTCGAAGGTGCACGGAACGCTGTTACCTTCCCACCAAAGGTGGTTTCTATTTTCCTACTTACATTTTTACGTGCTTTCTAACTGCTAGGTTGGCAGAAGCTGGGACAAGTAATGGGAGCTCACTCTGTTATTCGGCGCTAGGGATTCAAACCAGCGAACTGCCAACATTTCTTTTGCAATTTTTTTTATTTTTAAACATAAAAAACAACATAAAAAAATTCTTATCCATTACATACAGCATGTCGTTTGGTTACAAGCATTTTTGCATCCGTATTTTCAATTACATATACAATCACAGATTTTCCATCTAATATAACTAGATACCTCACTTTCATTTCACAACATATATTCAATTACGATTAATATTTATTTCTTTTAAATAAACTTAATTCCCTTACATTCTTGATTGTCTGTTTAATAACAATATACCTTTATGTAATCACTTATCTCATTCTGAATATTTTTTCAGTGTAAAAGAATTTACCAACTGTTTATGTTTATAATATCACTATTTTCAATTATGTATAATCCTGCCAATCATCCACTGAGTTTGCTTAATAACTGCCAACATTTTGATCAACAAGCTAGCATCTTAGCCACTGAGCATCACGTCCCTCTTAGCTTAGTTACTTAGATGTTAAATAAGTAAACATTTCAAGTCCAGAAACATCCTTGAAAAACAAAAAGCGGAGGTGTGATCACTTTTTTGAAAAATACTGAAATTGTTCTATTTATTGTTTCCAAAACGAACAGCTTCACACATTCATAAATGGAGTTGAAGAATACCTTCCTGGGTTTGTGTGATTTAACATTTTCTGAAAATCCAGCATTTGTTTTATCCAGCAACTCCTCCCCTCCCTGCATTTCTTTCTTTTGCAAACTATCCTCAGTCTCACACCAGAAGATTCCAGGGTCCTCCGTTAGTTTTATTTGAAGTTGTTCTTAGCATTGTAGCGCTTTCTGATTAATCTCCAGGATCACGAGGCCCTTAACCGTCAGATGGTAGCTTTGATCTTCATCCAGCAAACCATCTGGAAACGTAGTTCAGATTGGCAGCTGCTTTCTTCACTCTCCAGTGTGGTTTTCAGCAGAATTTCCGCTGAAGTTTTTTGTTTTTTTAATGTATCCCGAGTTTCAGGGTTATTGAAAGAAAGAAAAAACCAGTACTAGAAGTTTTCAGCCATCTTCAAGGTGTGGTTTTTTTTTATTGCTTTCCAAAGGGGAGGGGGGAAATGCATAAGAGCATTAATCCCAAATAAATAAGCCTCCATTTTAAAATATATATATATATATATATATATATATATATTATTGAACTCAAGAGCCGAGATGGCACAGTGGTTAGGGTGCAGTACTGCAGGCCACTTCAGCTGACTGTTATC